CGTTTTTTTCAGAGTCTTACAGGATTTCTATGGGTGTGCCTGATCCTAAACCTCACTGCCTTTTACTACAGCAAGCGACTGTCACAAGAGATTGAAGTGTCAGACAGCAGGCAGGGCTAGGTGGCAGGCAAGTGTTCTTTCAGGCTGTCAATCCTACTGTGGATGCAATCAAACCCAAAAAGGCACATTGATCATGCTTTCCCCAGGGAGCCCTGAATTTCCAAAGGAACAAGATAACTTGAGAAATCTATCGATCTCCCACTTTTGTCACGCTGTACAGGTGACAAGGATCAATGGAGATGTGTACTCTCCTATCCATGATCCTACAGTTTTCATTTGTATTTTCCCCCTAGAGTCCCACAACTTTGCACAATGCACTGCCCACACCTTCTAAAATCAGTCTCATCATCTGTGTCAGCTCTGTTTTGCCATCTCCTTCCAATTCAGAGAAATGTCTCCCCCTCCTCTCCTGCACCCTGCACACAAAGCCAGCAAGCTCCGCCCAGCTGTCCTCTCATCCGTCTGACACGCACTCATTGGACCAGAGCCTCTGGAGGGGCGGGGCTTCTGTCTCGGGGGCTCTTCAAAAGAGATCCTTGCAGAAGCACTCACCCTCTCCCGCCTCCTGCTCTGAGCCTGTGCTTTCCTGCCTGCTTTCTCTTTCCTTCCTGGCTCATCCTGGGACAGAGGCTCATACCAGAGGAAGCTCAGGTCTTGGATTTTCATGTCAGTGATGGAAAAATATGAGAATGTTTCCTGGATCCCCCAGCAGGAACTGGACGATCCATTCAAGAAATACCCGAACAGCACGGAGGACTACCTGACCTTCCTCTGCGGGCCTCAGCGCAGCCACCTCTTCCTCCCCGTGACTGTGGTGTACACGCTGATTTTCGTGGTCGGGGTCGCTGGCAATCTCCTGGTGTGCCTGGTGATTCTTCGGCACCAGGCGATGAAGACACCCACCAACTATTACCTCTTCAGCTTGGCAGTGTCCGACCTCCTGGTCCTGCTCCTTGGGATGCCCCTGGAAGTCTACGAGATGTGGCGGAACTACCCCTTCCTGCTTGGGCCCGTGGGCTGCTACTTCAAGACGGCCCTCTTCGAGACCGTGTGCTTCGCCTCTATCCTCAGTGTCACCACCGTCAGCGTGGAGCGCTACGTGGCCATCCTCCACCCTTTCCGCGCCAAGCTGGAGAGCACCCGGCGGCGGGCCCTCAGGGTCCTCTGCGTGGTCTGGGCCTTCTCTGTTCTCTTCTCTCTGCCCAACACCAGCATCCACGGCATCAAGCTGCACTACTTCCCCAATGGGTCCCTGGTCCCGGGCTCTGCTACCTGTACGGTCATCAAGCCCATGTGGATCTATAATTTCATCATCCAGGTCACCTCCTTCCTCTTCTACCTCCTCCCCATGACTGTCATCAGCGTGCTCTACTACCTCATGGGGCTCAGAGTGAGTATCCAAGCTGGCTGGCTTGTGGCAGCCTCCCTTCTTTTCTCACTGACTCAAAGTTTTCTAAGAAAACATTAGAATTGGAGACATTCAGAATTGGAAGGGAGCTTAGAAAGAAACAGGGTGAGCTCAGAGGGGAAACTCCTAAGTTAAAGGACTTGCCTCAGTTGGACAAATCGTAACCACACCTAGAAATGATTTCCTGTAACTCACCTGCATTACTCTTTCCCCTATACCTGTGGTTCTCAAGCCTAGGTGTTCCTACAAACCACCTGGGAACCTTACTATGGGTACCAATGTGCAGGCCCTTCCCCCAGGGAAATTCTGATTCTGTCTGTCTGAGGTGGAGCCTCATTTTAAGTAGCATGAGGTGGCCACCCCTGGAGACTGTTCCACACCCTGCCGGCTCCTCTCTGCCCTATGGCCTGCACAGACATTTTTCTCAGCATCAGCTTGGCCTGAGTATAACATAAACTCCCCCTGCCTATTTTATTCTCCAAGACAGACACACGGCTTTAAAGTCAGACCCTGTCCTGTGGTTGCTCTGACTCTCTGGTTGAAATAATCAGGTTAAAATAAAAAAATATGGCCTAAGTGAGATCCACTTGGACTTCTCTTGAGCAGGTGGAGGTTTGGGAACGGGGAGGTGAACAGAGTGCGTAAGACAGAGTACAAGACAGTGTGAATAAAAGTTAGCTGGGAGTAACAGAAAATTATCACTGAGTTTGCAGTACGTCTTATAATTAGAAGTTCCTTTCCTGTGCTCATGGTGGTAAACTGATTCTTTTTAAATTTTTTCTGGATCTAAATCAGCTGAGAGAAACTGTTTTTGATGAGGGTAGGAGTGAGTCTATACCACTCCTCTCCTGGTATACTCTGTATCCAAATTCATAGAGATAAAGTCTGACTATGACAGTTTTATACCCATTTAAGGAGGTAGCTTGTGGAGGAAAGAGACACGAGGCCCTTTACACTCTCAGGTCTGAAGCTCACATATAACATGCCTTTAGGCAAGCCACACAATTCTCTCCTGGAATTAGTTTCCACATTTATAAAATGAAAAGGTCACAGATTATACCTAAGGCTACTTATAGCTCTAACAGTCTGTGGTTCCTTAAAAAAAGGAGGGGCGGGGGAACCTGTCAGTGGGAGCAATGTGAGTTATAAATGAAAGAAAAACAAAGCAGACATCACATTTACATCACATGGTTCTGATACCGTGTATAATGTGACAATTAATATATTCTTATCTCAGTGGTGAATACCTACCATGCCTAAGGTGAATGGCAAGGTTTAAATAGGTAGAACAAATTCTAAGTACCACTGATGTCTGAACACAGGAACAAATCTAATCAGGCTGAGTTGTGCCAGTCTCCTCCTGGAGGGCTGGCCCCGATATTCCCAGAGACATACTTGTATGTCACCCCAGACTACCCCACGATCATGTCTTTAGGGGGAGACTCCTGTGTGATCCCAAATATCATGAGCCCTGTGTGAAATTCCCACCCGAAACTTATCAATAGTATCTCATCCAACACCAAACAATCACTTATTTTGGGTCAATTTGGAGGAAATATTTAACTTTGAGTAGGAAACATATACACCACTACCCCCAACCAATTACTTTTGAGTTTCACTTTATTTTGTTGTCATGTGTCTACAGCTACCTTGTATCAAGAGCTAAGCGACAGCTCAGAAGCCACTCTAGTTTGCTTTGTGTATGGAATGCAACTTACAGCATCCTGTTCTCAAGACGGATGGGGTGTTACCCAGGGGACACCAGGAAGGAACTCTCTGCTTAGAAAGTCACTCCAAGAGAATTATGAAGATTTCTAGATTGGAGTCAGGAGATAGGCCCTAGTCTGTGCCATTGAACTCAAGGCTTTTGCACATACTGTACCTTTTGCTGTATCTTTGCCTGAAATGTTCCTACCGTCTACAATACAGTCATCCCTTTTGCCTTTCCAACCCTCACTTATCCTTTAAACCACAATTCACTCACACTTCCCCAGGGAAGTTCTCCCTGATTCCCTAGCTACACATGGTCCCTGTGTAGATCATGGTTCCGGGTAGTTTCTCTTCCTTGGATTTATGACAATGTAAAATTCTCTACTTGGAGGTGCCTTGATATCTTTCTCTCCAACCAGACTGTAAGAGGAATGAATGAATGAATGAATGAAGTTAAATTATTTTGCTCATTGCTGGACTTTAGCTTCTCTACCTTCAAAACAAAAGACTTGGAAACATTGCAAAGGGCTTTTTTGATCTAAGAGATTTTAAAGAGACTTAAGCAACTCTGAGATTATTAAATCATTGATTCCCTAGCAAATCTGAAGTTACGATAGACCGTGGGACCCACTGCCTTCAGAAAGCAGAAAACCCAAGACTGATGAAATCCCAGGCCTGGAGAAGAAGGTGGAGAGCCCCATGTATGCTCACAGCTGAGCATTTAGTGCCACTTCATCATTCCAGAACACAAGTCACTCCTGAGCTGCTCTCCAAATGTCCAACATGATGGAGATGGAAAAAAGATCACCCCAGGGCAAGTTCTCCCATCTGGGAGGAAGTCCTGTGGAAGCTCCCATTGTCCTTGTAACTTGTGCAAACAGCATTAATGCTTGAGTTGAAAAGGATGCATTATCTGTAGTGGAATTCAGCAGTGCCAAACAGAGTTGGACTGATTTTGTTTTTCAAATCAAGAAATTTGGTCTGGATTGTAGAGATATTTACACAGAAGCTATAATTATATCTTGGTATTCAGAAGCTTAGTCTCCACAAACTATATAAATGAACAGCTGGTGGAATGATTGTAATCATATAAAAAACTGATCAGAGTAATGTATCAACCTGAGTGATAACCATCCTATATGGACCTCCCCTTCACCTTTTATCTTACATAGCTAAAGGGGGTGGGGTAGGAAGACTCCTGAGTTTCTTAGAGGGTAGCCATAATTTTTCACTCTTTTTGTAAGATGATTTTTAAAATAAAAGTTTGGGGAGGGATGGGAATAATGGATGGCTGAATATCTACTTTGCCGAACACCTAAAGGGAAATGAAATTATTCAAAAATAAAGCAGCATTCAATAGTGGCTAGACAAACTTCTTAGATTCTATTCTACTCCGTAACCCTTTCAAATTCTGTTGGAACAATGTGTAACACACACAAGTTTTCACTCTTCTCCTAGTTGGCTAGTTGTGTCATATAACCTTAAGAAGCTGAAAAATAAATAATAATTAATGCACACTGTACAGAAAGCCTGTTCATAAACAAATTTCCTGATCTGTTGGCCTTATTTTTGATTTAAGGAAATTGTTTCTTGGGATGGAGGCATTCCCAGTGAGAACTGTTAAGCCCACCCAAAGACGTGACTAATAGATCTCAATATTCTTTCATTGTTCTTATAGTAATAATGGACTGAAATCAAATAATGGAATAACTATCTTACAATAATGACAAATGTTTTTAAGTAATGTAAAAAAATTAGAAACTTTAGTAGATTTCATTGAAGATGACTTAGTAAGATTTGTAGTTTGATGTGCTGCTCTTACCTTAAACACCAAAGTTTTTCTTCTCGGTGCATCTGACTGCTTCTTTGTATCAGCACAAGTACCTCTTGTGTCTGCTTGGTACCATGAAGAGGAGACTGTCTAGAAGGGATTCAGTAATCCACATGAGTAGGTGCACAGATGTAAATAAATAACTCTATTTCATCAAAATTCACTTTTTATTATGCCTTTTGAGTAGACTCAGGATAATCACAATAACAGCAATAATATTGTATGTAACTTATTCAGTATCCTGTGCCAGGCACTGAGATAAGCACTCTACTTCCATTATTTTGTTTTACTATTATATTACTAACAACTTGTTACCTTCAGTTTCCTCCCATCTACTCCTAATAACTGTACCACATTTTCCCCTATTTCTTCCCAAGTTCTAGGTGACTCCGAAGGGTCAGATCGCGCAGCAACTTTAATCTCTCATTTTGTGAAGACACAGGCATATGCAGAGAACAGCAATCTATTCAAGAGGTAGATGGCCAGGTTTGTTAATCATCCAGGTGGATGCTTTAGGGTCAGTGTGGTCCTGAGAGCTACCTGACTTCTAGGAGCTTACATGTTTGTTAGGTCAACAGGATAGTGATTTGTTGAACTCTGGAGGCAACTTGTAATGATCTCTCTTCCAAGTCTTACTTAACGTTAAATACCTTCTCTAAAAATGTCACCCAGCCAGGAAGCTCACTGATTCTTACAGTCATTGGTTCCATTGCTGCACACAACCACACCAATTTCCTCTATAGCTTGAATTGGAATATGTCTCCTTATCACTCAATAAATTGATCCTAATGTAACCTAAAACTACATGAAATATGCTGAATTTTCCTTCCTCTTTGTGGCCTCGATTAGTTTGTCAGGACTTTCTACATTGCAAATGAGGGAAACTCAATCTGGCAAGCTATGAAGGGGAGGTAAAGTCCTGAAAAGTCCAGAGGTTGAGCTGGCTCTGAGTGACGATTGATCCAATAACACACAAGGACCTAGTTTTGTTTCTGCTTCTTTGCTCTTCTTTCTGTGGTGTTTCAACTTTAAGATCTGCACAGTGGCTCACTGGTGACTCCAAGCACTTCCCTCGTGATGGAAAAAGAAATAAATAGCTGTTGTAATTCCAGACCACACATGCAGAGAACAAGAAGGGCTCCCTCTGGCAGTCCCAGTAAAGGAGAAATGAAACTCCCATCCTTAGAAGTACAATAAAATACCTGAAATCTCATTGGTCCCTGTCAATCAATCACTGTGACTAAAGGATAGTAGCTAAGTAATTTAGGGACTAAACCTGGAGCTGGAAATAGGCTCATTCCCATCCAAATTAATGACTAAGAATAAAGAAGGAGTAAATTGTCTAAGGGAAAGTCAGGGTATTATTGGTAAGAGAAGAGAAAAATAAATGCTAGAGAACAAATTGGCAAATATGTACCATACTACCGTCTAGATATGTGATGGTAATTTATCATAAGTCCTTAAAGCTTCCTTATCTTTATCTGGCAGAATATCCCCACAGACTAAAAACATATACATTTAAGAGAAAAATATTCCACAACTAGATAATGATTTAGATCTTCAGTGCTATGGAAGTTCAAAGGAAGGAGAGGATAATGGTCTACAGGGGCCACCAAAATCTTCCAGCGGTAGTTGGGATTTGAACAGGGCAAGAAAGATTGCATGGATAGGCCATATTAATATTTGAAATTTTCAGATGCTACTTCAAGATCACCACATCTTCCAACAAGGATGAGTACTTTTAATATCTGAACTCAGAAACATATGCACTCTTATTAGTAAAATTAGTAAGCCTGAATTTCCCAAATTGTGCTTCTCAAGATGATACTAGGTATTCCACTGAAAAGGGTTGGAGGAGGGTATTGTTTAGTCAAAAAAGCACTATCCCCCTTGTGAGTAGGGTGGGAGATGTGAGTATGGAAGGTGGGGGTGGAAAGGAGGGTGATACACTATCCCCTGTGAAGATTCATAATGCTCATTAGCATATTAAAGGCTCTGAGAAGACACACAATGAAGACTATAAACTTCATAAAGCAGAAATAATACCTGTTTTTGTTTTTTACTGCCTACCCACCACATAGCAGAGGGATTCTATTCTAATAGATGTATGATAATTATTGAGTGAATAAATGAATGACTGGAAAATCCTATCTAATGCTTTTATTTCATAATTTCACATTGTTCATGGAATACCTATAGCATACTATATAACTAGAGTCCTACAGAATGGTAGATAAGTGGTTACACTGCAACTTGGCCACGCCATCTATACAGTTGAGTTAGATGACCTGGATCCGACTCCACCTCTAACTTACTGCTAAATATTTGACAAATTCGTACATTTATTTTAAGTCCCAGTTTTGGGTCTGCAAAATGAGTGCGACAGTTACACTTCTCCATCTTCACCGAGGAAAAAAATGTTTCGCTTTCATAACATCTTTCTCTGCTTCCCTTGCAGCTAAAGAAAGACCAACCCCTTGAGGCTGATGAAGTGACCGCAAATATTCAACGACCCTCCAGAAAATCGGTCACCAAAATGCTGTGTAAGTCCTCCATTTCGTTTGTGTTTGGGTTTTTTTGTTTGCTTGCTTATTTGTAAAACATAGGAGTTGCCTTTGGTGCTGAGAAAGTGCTTCTGGGCTCAGCATCAAAATTCTTCTGAAATGTAATATCCTAGTCTGGTCTTCCTTATCTTATCAAGTTTCTAGGACCTGTTTTCATTTCTAATTCAGTTTGATACACTCAAAACAACATACTAAACTACATCCATTGGAATACACTCTGTGTGGTGTTTGATTAATCCCATCACTCTCTGGGCTTTTGAGTATCTCTTTTCCCTCTAAAATGAGCAGTTGATTTTTAATCATTTTTGTGTTATGGGTTTCATTAAAAATATGATGAAAGCTGTCAATTCTTCACTCCAAAAATGTCCATGTGTGCATACACAAAACGTTTTACAACTCATTTCAGGGGATCATGAATCCCTGATACCCATCATTGGACCCCAATGGGTCTTTTAATTCCAGATTATGAGCATCTGGCTAAGAGTACCTCTAAAATAGTCATCCCACCTATGACATCACATGATTTCATATAAAACAATGCACCTTTTGTATAGATAAGAGGTTTACAAAACATATCCACACACTGATTCACAGTTTCCCAAAAGAATGCTTTAAAAATAGATGATCTAGGGCTGGCTGAGTGGCACATTAATTAAGAGCTGGCTTGGGATGCCAGCTCTGAGCAGTAGGGCCCCAGTTCGGATCCCACATGAGGGCCAGTGACACTGCCCTCTACAGCTAAGATGGTGAACAACAGCTCAACCGGGAGCTGTGCTGCCATGAGCTACCGTGAGTGACCAGAAGCTGGTGTGAGCTGCCGTGAGCCACCGTGAGTGGCCATCCAGAAGCTGGTGACCCATCTGCCTCACCCAGGAAGAGCGCAATGATGGTACCAACTTGGGCCAGTGAAGCAACGTCCTCCACAGCTAGACTGAAGAACAAAAGGACAGCAACTTTCTGTTTCCTTCCCCCAATTCCCCAATAAAATCTTTAAAAAAAAAAAAAGATCTAGTAGCAGCCTATGAGAGATAGTAATGGGAGAAAAGAGGTTTATAATATGCTTTCCAAGTCAAAACCTAAGTTATGGAAGAAACAAATCCTCCAGGCTAATATGCCTATGAGGCACTCACTTCGCTATGAGTATGTGGCATTTATGAAAAAAAACCAAAAAAACAAAAAACTTGAAAGTCACTAAAGTTTATCTTTTAGACTCTAATAGTCATCTTCTTGGGAATGGTTCAGCCTCTGTTGGCACCTGACTTCCCCTGTTAAGAAATCTAGTGTTGTCGTTATCTCTCCCCTTTCTCTTTGATCATAATCTTCTCTCACAAAAAGATAAAACACAGTCACCTTAGAGGCACAATGATAAAATATACTGTAAAGTATTTGCGTTTGGTGAGGAAGGTTCAATGTTGACAGCAATTAAAATTTGAATTAAAGGGGATTGTATGCAGTAATGAGCAGATGAGGGACCTTTTCTTGGGGGTACCTCAAAAGAAACTTCCAGATAGTACTGAAACCGCATCATACAGGCAAACAACTTACTCTGAATATGTTTAATGCCAACAGGAAATATACATACTACTGACTACAGAAACCTCCACTGTGCTCACAAATATAGAAAACTGTAAAATAAACACCCATGTACCCATCCCCCAACTTCAAATTGAATCAACTCACAGCTAATCTTGTTTCATCTATAGCCTCGTTTCTCCCCTTCCCCCTACAAGATTATTTTGAGGCAAATCTCAAGCACCATGTTTTGGAAAAGAAAAACATTTTATAACTTCAGAAGAGAAAAAAGTGTGTATGTGTATTTGTGGAAATGAAATGACCCAGAGAGAAACTACAGTAGCACCAATCTCTGTTTTAGGAGCTGAAAATAAGAAACTAGAAGGCGCAACTTCCTGTGAATCTATAATTATTTCAAAATAAAAAGCAAAAACAAACAAAAAGAAATTGAAAGGAATTCTGCACTCTAGAGACTTCCAATGTAACAGACACATTCCCATCCCAAGTAAAAGACGCTTACGAAGCAAAGCAATATTATATTTATGGTTAATCTTTCTCTCTCTCCTCCCCTACCCCTTACAAAGTTTTAAATGATTGAATTCAGAGAAGCCTCTAATTCTTTCTAGAGTAAGAAGACAAATGTGTGCTATGTGTAATAGTTTGTTATTAATCTACAACTTTAAAGAACACCAATTGCTTAAACCCGACCATTTTATTTAAATAACATCCATGTGGCTCCAGCAGTCTAACTGCAACATAATTCATTTTCCACAATAGAATGTGTTCAGGACTTTGAATTAATTCAATACTATTCTAAATATCTAAAGGAAATTTACATTATACAAGAACTCTTGTACAATCATAGGGAAAACTGATCCTAAATCCCATGCAATTCATTCTTATGTTTAAATATTCTATGTAGAGGCTCTTTAGGATCGAGTTGATGTGTGATAATTATAGCTTAACAAAGATGGAGGGGGAAATGCTAGAAGGAATGGATGGGACTCAGAGTGG